GTGCAGGGATGCAAGCTGTAACTCGAAGTGTTGTTTTTCTGTCATCCTTCGACAAGTGTGGGCTAGGTGACATTTCACTCCATCGGAACAGAAGAGGAGGTCTGATGGTCTGTGTCTTCATCGGCAGCAGATGGGACACGGCCCGTATGTCAGAAAGGACAAAAGAAATAATCAGTATTAACACAGAGRGCAGACGCACTCCAGGAGAATATTTGTTGTGAATCACTTCGGTGAGCTTATCACTGAACTCAAAGGATAATTCTCAGGTGCCTGGCCCATTTYGGTTCAGTTGTTGTAACATGAGAGCAGCTTAAAGGAGACATGAAAAAAAATAAGCTGGTTCAGACTGAAGCACCTGGAACAAAATAATTGTTTCTATTTATAAGATACTGCAAAAGAAATACTGACTAAAGGAGACATTTCATGCTTTTAAATCCTTCTTTTTTCCACATATAAATAATTCAGTTGGGGTCTATAAAGTGGAACTGCAATGCTTTGGTCTGAATGCCTCCTTATTGTAACTCCACAAGCCCCTCTTTCTGTTCTAAGCAGCTCGTTTTGAGGCTATCTCTTTAAATGCAAACAAGGCGTTTCACATCCTGCCCAAAAGAATATAAAGGTATCAATGCAGCGCCAGGAAAACCTAAATTCAACTTTTCTGCACTCCTAGAGACTCTTAGGTACACAACAAAATGCATTTAACAGGTAAATAATTAGATTTTGTGCGATATGTCCCCTTTGAAAACATACTAGTCTTCTCTTATTCTCTGCAAGTTATAGCCTYAGACATTTAGCTTGGCTCTTCATGTCAGCAGCCTTATATTTGACTGTGTTGGCAGRCAGGTATGCTAATGTCAACGTGAGCTCTTTTGTGTGTTTTGCAGATTCACATATGCAGAATTCAACTTCGGGCTCGAGAATGCATTTGAATCATCACTTTCAGCCGAGCGGTTTCTTTCTTGCTACACAGTCCCTCGCGTTATCTTGCCTCTGCTCTAATCAGTGTCTCTCTGTGCATGTGTGAATGCAGACCCAGTCACGTGCGTCGTATTAAACCTCTTGTGCGGAACAGTGAAAGGAGTCTTGGGAGGACAGAAGAAGATGACTCTTGTCATCCTGGCATCGCCCTCCCCGCCCGTTTGCTGCGGAGTCCCGCTCCAGCAGATGGTGACACTGATGCGACTTGCATCCACTTTTAATTGAAAAGTAAAGAGGCTGCCGAGCTTGTCGTTTGAATCAATACTTTATTTATTTATTTATTTATTTTTTTGACGTGACGCTTTTAATTAAAAGCCTGAACACTCGTGATAAGGATAATTGAAACTTTGGCCAAAGCTGCATGTTTGGCTTGTGTACAAAAATCTTTCCTCTGCTGGGTGAAGACTTTATAGTTTTCTCATAAATCTAAGCTGACAAAACATTACCGCTTATGTTCAAAGTGAAAACTTTAGACCAAAAATTCAAYATTATTAACAATTCCTGAACACCAAACTGATGTATTAAAGCATCACATTTGAGGAAAGTTATGCTAATTTTGTTACTAAGGGTGGGTAGATGGTGCCCATTTTTTACACAAATCTCAATTTTTGGCAAAAATTCTTATTTTCATTTCTATGACTCAGCCAGCATGGGTCACRTTGTGTAACCGCTCCACAATGCTTCTTACTATAAAGGGTTTGATGAAGTTCTCGGCCAACAGGAGCCGACTGYCCTGTACTGGTTGGCAGCTGATGTTTTGGCAGGGGATCATCTGGCTCCTGGTCCGACCACACAGTCCCATTTCTTCTCCTGCTGTCTGGATGCCAGCGGTATAAAGGCGAGCGAGCCCACGTTCTGCCACCATGCTTTAAAGAGGCAGGAATCTCTCAGCCCGCTCACTGTTCCTCCCATCCATCCATCCATCCATTTTCTTCATTTTTTATTTTTAATTTTTTTAACTTTTATATTTTCAGGAATAGTTTGCCAGTAATCTTGTTTGTCAAAGCTGTGATCCTGTTTAGATAGAAATAGCTTCAAATCAGCCTTCCTTTGCTTGTTTGTTTTTTTTCTTCTGTTTATGGAAGTGTGTGTTTTCTGCTTTACACCAAATCTCAAACCCTGACAGAATAAATTTATGTTAGGTGTTGTCCCAGGCAAATGTATATTTTAAACAATGTTTCACCAGTGCAAACATATTTTCACTACTTGGAATTTGTATAAGTGCATAAAATTTGAATTTAGTCTCTCCTGGTGCTGCAAAGATATCTTTATATTCTGTTGGGTCATATCGTTTAAATCAGGGGTTCTCAAGCCATTTGGGTCTGGGAAACCCTTACAAGGGCGAAAAAAATTCCAGGGACCCCCTCATAAACCCCATTCTGTTTTAAAAGATAATTTATTGTCATTTCAACCCTAAATGCCATGAGAATATGTATTTTTATTAAGTTTATTATGTTTGTTTTATTAGTTCATTGTTCTCCATGCATTTTTAAAAATATAAACCAAATTAACTTTTTAGTAAATATTTTTGAGGACCCCCAAGATACCTCTCGCAGACCCCTGGGGGTCCAGGGATCCCAGTTTGAGAACCTCTGGTTTAAATCATTCAGTTTTTTCTCTTTTCTATCACATATTTTGAACTATTGCATCACAGTTTTTGTGACTGGATTGTTTTTGAACAAGTGTGGTCATCCAGTTTTGTAGATTAGCTTAACGAAAAGGCAGAGGCACAGCTAAAAATAACCCAGATGAGAGAAAAGAAGAAAAAAAAAACACAAGTAAACACATCCTTCCCCTGGGGTTTTTCCTGCTGTTGTCATCATGAAGGTCTTTGTTCATTTCATGTGTTCTATGGTTTTGGTCTTTTGGATTGTGACTTAACACCTTCCCTTCTTTAATGCTCATTTAAGATGTTTTTATGAAATAATTGCTAAAACTATTTTTTGTTTTTTTTTTTCTTGTTGCTCTTCAGAGGAAAACAAGACGGTCTAAGCTTCCGGACCACAACAGCCAGGACTCGAAGAAAGACGGCTCGCTTTGGGAAAAAGCAAATTCTTTATCTGTGAAGAACAGAGGCAGATGGAGCTCCAGGTTGGAGAGGACGGGGGGCACAGCAGCCAGCGCTCAGAGGAAAGGGAGCAGCCGCCGAGGAGGAAACGCCAGAGCCCGACAGAAGACCCAGGATCGCGGGATGGCGGCGGCAGGACTGGATGTGGTCCCGCACGATCCGTCCAGCAGCCGCAACTTCAGCGAGAGCCGCGACGGAGCGGCTAAAGTACCGGCTGCYCTCTTACCCGGGGAGCCGGGCAGCGTGGACGGCGCGCACCAAACTCCCATCACCGACTTCATGCCCAAGTGCAATATTGTCGGCAAGGACGCTCTTTCGGCTCTGCACCGYGCTGCCACCCAGCAGTGCAGGCAGGAAATAGCCAACCTGGTGTGCCAGCATCAGGCTGGACAGCTCATGCCCGACATTCTTCCCCAGTTCTGTCCTCAAGTTGGTGAGAAAGTTTTTACCGTTTTAACCKAAACTCAGGCAGTAATGTTGTATTCTGTCAACTCAGTGTGTTTTCTGTRTTCAGGCGTGTCGCAGCCAGTGCAGACAGCAGGAGAAGAGGATTTCAGCCTGTCCAAGGTGGAGAATCCTGTCAGGGTGGTTTTTGTTCTGATGGTCCACGGCCGGGCTGTTCGGCAGCTGAAGCGTCTCATCAAAGCCTTGTATCACAAAGACCACTATTACTACATCCACGTAGACAAGGTACCACAGCAGAGTCTGCTCCCAGAACACATCTGAGTTAAAACTGGGGATCATGTTGAGCTGAGTACACACAACTAAAGTAGTTTGTTCTTTATGCTCCTGGTAGTGTGKGCTGTAAGGAGATTAACCTGGATGTGGGTCAGTCTGGTTACACTTAAGGGCTGGATTTAGTAGAGGAAAGGTAGTTATTGTGTTTAAAGGTAATTGTGAGTCTGAGCAGAGGTAAATTTAGGTTTCTGTAAGCAGAAGGACAGTGGAGCAGCTTACTGCAGGGAAAGATGAACGATAAGTCAGCTGGACGGTCACATCAGAGGCTCATCAGAGGATTTAGACACTTGGCTGGTCTTTCCTCATCCATCTCTGAGGGAAACTCTGTTTGAGAGACGAGGCTGTGAAACCAGGTTTAAATCTGCCTCCTGGCTGCTTCACTTCAWCATCCRTTCCTCTCATCTCTGAAAGCAGCCRTGTTAACCACGTTCACTTGTAAAATCTTTATGCTCTCGTACTAAAAGTCCAGTTTTCCTGAGCTGCATTAGTTATCCTGGCCTGTTTCATTACAAGCAGTTTCTCTTACCTAAAAAGGTTAGACTTAATGTTCCTGAAMAATTTATTTTCAACTGCCTGTTTCATTTAAACTGCTCATTTATYGCTGTGGAACCTGTTTTTTGGAAACGGGCTGCTTTGCAATTAGTCTAATTATATTGTAAATGGAAAACTATAAAGGAAGACACTTGTTTACTCTGTTTTATTGTAACAAAACTGAAAAATTGTGACTATAAATATTTTTATGTCCATTTTAGAGTTTAATCTCTGCTTTAGAAATTGCTTTTTATGYTTCTGTTAAGCAGAAGCTCTTAAAATTGTGAAACGAAGCTTGATTTTCTCTACCTTCTTATTATCACCATGACTCACTAAAAAGCACCGTGAGGTTGTTGTGCTTCTCAGATCAAATTCTCTTTCAACACCAGCCAACTTTGTTCTGTTTTGGCAGCATGGCTGCTTCCAAACCACAAGAACCATTTCAACACTGAAATTAATTAGAAAATTTAGACTTTTTTTTTCTCCTGCGTTTATCTCTTTCAATGACTTTTGGATATTAAATCTTCCAGCGGTCTGGCTACATGCATCGAGAGGTGCTGMGGATCGCTGAGCTGTACCCGAACATACGAGCCACGCCCTGGCGGATGGTCACCATCTGGGGAGGAGCCAGCCTCCTGAAGGCCTACCTGCACAGCATGCAGGACCTGCTAGCCATGCAGGAGTGGAAGTGGGACTTCTTCATCAATCTCAGCGCCACAGACTTCCCAACCAGGTGAGTCGGACAGGTACACAGATCTGCAAAGTTTGTGATCCTTTTCTCCATCAGTCGTAACAAACGTGTTGGGGGTTTGAACTTCGTCACTTGGCTTTGGCTTGTAATTTTTACACCAAAGCTTCAGTAACCAGATCAACTTTCTCATCTGTCAGGAAGGTGAAAAATGAAACACTAGTTGGAGACTTGAGTTGGTTTTCACAATTAATGGCAACGCACTGAGAAGCATTTCACCAGCGTACATTATTGATCGAGAAAAAATTCAAGTCGATTACGGTGATCAGCTGTGAGCCTCTTAYTCGATCAAACATGGTGGAAATGTGCTCGACAACAGCCAATCAGAATCCACCTCCTCCTGCTCCACTTCTGTTTATAAGTTGCTGAAGAAATGCAGATGGAAACACAGAATTAACCAAAGTAATCAAGTATAAATCGCTGAATCTCACAGAGTTCGCTTATTTGGATGAGTTTCTGAGGTATTTTGGCCGCTGTCGCTTCCTGTACCTGCTGTTACCTGCTAACAGGCACGCAGGGTGAGCTCTGAGCTCCTCTCCCGACAGAGAAAGAGAGAGAGGGGAAAAAGAAAAGTGAACCATGATGCGCCTCACTAAAATAAAAACGTCCTCCAAAAACATAAAGCGGTCTTAGGGTAACGTTTAGGACAGAACAATGTCCCAGTGGTTCTTCATTTATCTGGAGAAGAACTTTTCTGTAAATTTTATCGGCTCAGGATGRGCTGGACRAGACGTGAAGACCACTTCCTGTCTGAGTCTCATCACAAACAGCAGCTGAGAGACGCTGAAAACTCCTGAACAAAAGTAAWGAGCTTWGATCCTATTCAAAGTGTGCACAAATTGTTGCTGTTTGTATGGTTTGTTTCTTTATGGCATATTTAATGTGAAATTCAATTCTAAAACTTTAATTTTACAAAAGGATAACTTTATAAATGTGAGATTCTATGATTTACACATAAATGTTTTTTTTCTCGGTAAATACTGTTTTAAATACTTTGCAAAAATAATTGGATGTTCTACTGAACCACAGCTATTTGTTATGTTAGTAAAAGTGAAATAACAGCCATTATTATTTTTTTAATTTCTGTAGCCATTTGTTAAATTATTTTTCAGTCACTTTTTAACAGTAAAAAAAACTCATGATATTAATCGCGATCGGATAATATGAAAAAATTAATCGTGATCATTTTTTTGCCATATCGCCCAGCCCTACTGTGACTGATAGAAATATTAGTCTGTTAGGACTGTTCTAGTAAAGGTGTTGCTATTGTAGCTCAGTGACGTTTCTGGTTGTAAAAAGTTGATTTTGTTAGCTGGGTTTCTGGGGCAGCTGTGTCTGCCTGGTCCACCTGAGCTATCCCAAGGCACGTTAGCTTTCATTTATCTGTTTCAAAGAGACGGGCTTGTTGTCCTAAATCCTTTCCAAAGGAGGTAATTACAATCCTGAAGCACTCAAGCTGCTGTTTTATTTAAAGAATCCTCCGAGGCATGATTTTTATTGCTTTGCTGAAGCCTTGCTCCTCTCTGTCACCATCACGCCWCCCTGCAGGACCAATGATGAGCTGGTGGCGTTTCTGTCGCTGCACAGAGACAAGAACTTTCTCAAGTCCCACGGGAGAGAGAACGCCAGGTAAAAAAAAAAAAAGCCAGTTTTAGGTTAGATATAACTGATGATGGCATCGTTTGTTTACTTTCTCAAATGCTGYGAGCAAAAACAAACGGCTTTGTGTTCCTGCCCATAAGGTTTATTAAGAAGCAGGGCCTGGACCGTCTCTTCCACGAGTGCGACAACCACATGTGGCGTCTGGGCGAGCGCAGCATCCCAGAGGGCCTGGAGGTGTCCGGTGGCTCCGACTGGTTCGCGCTCACCCGTCGTCTCGTGGAGTACGTCATCACCTCCCAGGACAGGCTGGTGTTGGGGCTGAAGCAGTTTTATTCCTACGCTCTGCTCCCGGCGGAGGTGAGAAAACATTAGGTGGTCTTTGTTATCTTCCTCTTGTAGTGGAGACTAACAGCAGGAGGCGTCAGGCTCGTCCTGCCCTGTCGAGTCAGGAGAGCTGAGCTGCAGAGATAATGGAAGACTTGAAGCTTCGCAGCACAGTGTGGAGGAGAAGAGGAAAGAGAGGAAGGTTTATTATAGTTTTTCTCTATAGTTTAGTCTCTGTAGAGGAGCTTCACTGCTGTAGAGCTCTGGCCTTTCTGTAAATAACAACTGGAGGTTGTGAACTGTTCATGCAGGACTTCGACAGGTTTGTAGTGTAATGCAGAAATGCTGTATTTATCTTGTGCTTTCTTCCCAGTCCTTCTTCCACACGGTGCTCGGGAACAGTCACATGTGCGACACCCTGGTGGACAATAATCTGCGAGTCACCAACTGGAACCGCAAGCTGGGCTGTAAATGTCAGTACAAACACATTGTGGACTGGTGCGGATGCTCTCCCAACGATTTTAAACCACAAGATCTCATCCGGATTCAGGTCAGTGTGCCCGAAGAGGGCAGTGTCGCATTCTTTTCTCTCTCTTTTTTTTTTTTTTTTTTTTGCCTGTGCTCTTACTTTTCACATTTCTCACTATATCATTTTATTCTGTTTTTATTTTTATTTTTGTACAGCAATTATCTCGTCCGACATTCTTTGCCCGCAAGTTTGAGTCGACGGTGAACCAGGAGGCCATAGACATCCTGGACACTCACCTGTACGGTCAGTACGCACCAGGAACTGTTGCCCTCAAGGCGTACTGGGAGAACGTGTTTGAGCAGTCGGACGGTGTGGCCTCCCTTGGCGATGTGGCTCTCACTGCTCACACTTCATTCCTCCGTTTGGCCCTCAAGAACCTGAGGAGCACTCAGAGCAACACTGAGACCTGCAGGTCGGTTTAGTTTTTGATAAGTTATTTGTCACGTAGACRACATTATGGTGATTTATTTATTCATTTATTCTCTACAGATTTGAACCAGTGGGCCACCCCCTCTCTATACATTTGTACTTTTATGATGACCATTTCCAAGGTTACCTGATCCGTCAGGAGGTCCAGGCTGCAGGATCAAAGRACATAGAGGCATTGGAGCTGTGGGCCGTCCCTCAGTCCACGCTCATCCTTGAAACGGATCTTAAAGAGTTCGATAGGCTCAAGAACCTGGAAGTAAGCTTTCTCTGAGAATTTGTACAAACTTTTATGATTATTCGGACAAAACTGATGGAAGACGAGTTTACGCCTGATGTTAAAGGGGCTATATCATGTAAAATCAACTTTTTTGACTTTTATATCATGTTATAATCTTATCCTCTCATCAAAAACATGCCCAGAGTCTTACTTTGACTCATTCATGCATGTTTGAGAAATCCTGTAGTGTCCTGAGGCAGCAGGCAGGGGTGCAAAAACGACCGGTTGGGACCAGAACTGTCTTTGGGACCATCTCCACCTCTGTGCTGTGTCTCCAAGCCGAGTTTCCTCATCACGGAGCACACCCACACACACCCCACCCCACACACCCCGCCCATGTCTCCTGCAGGCTCTCAGCAGCAACAAAGCAAACAACGGGTGAAACTGAAAGTGAAAGTGAAACTGTCTGCTGAGCTCCTAACACTATTGCTCACTCAGTGAAGCTATTTTCAGATTCAAAATACCTTTGAG